GATAGGAGGGCATACTTAGTTTAACGTTGCACAAAACAGTAAGAAGCCTCTCAAGGTGTGTGGACAAGTACCCAACAATAATATCCTAACAAAGTAATGGCATACCTAGTTCAAAGTTGAATAAAGCAGTACGAAGCTTCATCCCATTGGAAAACAAATGTTATTGAGCAGTTGGACTTTCACATCGCAGCATCAAAATTACACAAGCATAATCCCAACTAGTAGACATTAAGTCCTAAAGTTCCATGCTCCTAGAAAGCTGCCTCTACCTCTAGATTAGTTCAAACAGCCCAACAAGACCTCACTAAATGGCATGTCAAAATGGAAATCTCAACGTAATACAATCTGACATGCAGCGGATCCCCTTGGTAACATTGACAATTCATTGAAAACATCATCAACCTTTGACTTAAGACAAGAATCCCAACTACGATAGCCAAAAGAAATAGTCATCTTCTTCAATCCTGTTCCATTCTTCAGAAAATACTCTAGCGGTTGCATTTCAATGTCCCGACCTCTCAAACTACTAATACCAACCTCCTCCAGGTGTGTGGACAAGCAACCAACGATATGATCCGGTTGATGCCACTCACCTTTGTAATCACCCAAATCCTGATGACAAGTAAAAATACAAAAGACAACATTATAATAGACTGTATTTTGAGTCAACAAGGTCATACGCGTAATTGCACACACATAACACATTAGCAAGCAGTGGTACTGGCATACAAAGACAGATATACAAATTTAGATAAGCCTGTCATCACTCACAAGGTCCAAATCTGCTAAAACTAGTGATCGTTCAAGGAAGAACACAACATGCTGCCAGGCACTTGGAATTTGAATTTTCAAATGCTTCAAATTATGAAATACTGGTAGTTTCAGATAACGATCACCTTCAAGAAACTGCAAATGAGAAATGGTAAATATCTATTCAACAACGCAAAGCAAAGCAAAAAAGACAATATTTTGAAAGAGATAGAGAGCACAAACCTACATCTTTCTCAAAATAATATAACTTTAGCCTCACCATGCTAGAGATATCTTTGAGAAGCTTAACCAATGCATTGACATCTCGGGCATCACTGACATCAACATCTGCTGAAACTAGGGAGGTTGAACTTACAGTGTAGTATTCTGACCCACCATCTTCATCTTAAAGCTTAAGATACCTCAAATTTGGTGTTGATAACAATTTCACAGCCTGTAGTATTACTATTAGCACACATCAAGATCTTTTTCCATTGTTAATTTTTCCAATGAAACTGAGCTAATATGCAATGTTTTTGCATTTTTCCATTAGTACCTAGCTAATTCCTAATTCATATAACAATGGGCAGCCAGAGAGGAGCTTCTTCAAGGAGAAGCAATTTGAAATCTGTACTCCACAAAGGCTAACAATCTTTACACTGTTTAGACACACTGATGTAGAACTGTTAAAACAAAAGGTCCACCTAGTTTTAGAACTTAAAGTCTTCCGCATGCATACAGACAATGAGGCAAGGAAACTGAGTCTGAATCAGGAACGCTAATATCTAGTTCCTCCACATTACGCATAATTGTAGCAGAAACCCATGATTGAATGCATGATGATTTATGTTCCAACTCACAGCAGAGGATAAACTTCCTTGTGAAAAAAGCATCATGGAGACTCAAAACTCTACCAACAAACTTTACATAATGCTGTGCAGTCGACTCATCTTCAGTGTCATTGTTGAAGAACTCGTAATCATTACAGTCAAGAATTGGGATTGAAGCCCAAGCAAATTTCCACCTTTTTGACAAGATAGTTGCACAAACTGCTTCTTTGGTCAAAAGAAAAGATAGAATGGGAGTGAGAAGTGCATCAGGCAATGCACTGATCCCATCAGCAAGTCTCCACCTTTTGGACAAGATACTGGTCCTAACAGCTTCTTTAGTTGAAAGAAAATATTGAATGTGATTGATCAGTTCATCAGGTAATATACTGATCCTATCAGCAATTTCCTCACCCCCCTTAGATTTCATAGGTGCTCCGCCAGCCATGTGCAAAAGC